CTCTCAGATGCTGGAGGCAGAAAGACGGCCGGGGTTGGAGAGACTTGCGCGTGATCGGTTGAAACTGGGTTTGGCAGAACGACACCCGGGGTCGGGGAGACTTGTACCTGCTGGCTTTTCTGACCGCGGTCGGGTGAGACTGAGCGATCGGTATTGATGCCAGTGTGCTTCTTCTCCTTGTTGCCGAGGAACTGGATAATGAGCGATTCCAGACTTGATTGGCGAGCACCGAGCCGCAGGTTGAGCTCCGAAATAGTAGTGACTGATTTGGTGAGGTCGTGGAGCGTTAGCTCGGCAGTTTCGATGTGGCTTGCAAGTTTCTCAAAGCCCCGGGTGAGACTCTCTTGTAACGCAGCTGGCGTAGTCTCCCACTTGTTCTCCAGTGTCTTGACGGCTTCCCTCACCTCGGCTTCCAGTCTCTGGTGATCACTTCGGATGGACTGCAAATCTTCTTGTGTTTCCTTCCAACGCATGTGGGCAGACTCTTCAATACGGTCCATCCGGCGAGTCGCTCCGGTGATTTTTTCTTCCTGAAACCAAACGGAGGTCTCTAGACTTGCAATTTTCTCCGACAGAGGACGGCTAGCCAAATCTTGATCTTGAATACACCGGGTAATCTCTTCGAGCGCCAAAAGACGTTGTGACAGGGTCACGGGTAAGTCAACCGCCGGGGGGAGAAGGGCACTTGCGTCAATATCTTGTTTTCGGACCACAAATGCCGAATACTCTCGCATAGTAGGGGTAGACGACTCCATGACGCTGACTTGCGCTTGTTGGTCTCGGAGTTTCTGCAGGAGGTCGGCTTGGCCATGAGCAAGTCTTCTGATCTCCTGCTGCATCGTCTGCATGTCGAAGTTCGGTGGGGGGCTCAAGGACCTAAAGTCGATCTTCTTCTGATAGAGCGCCGTGTCAACTAAGTTTTCAAGTTGAGAATCATGGGAAATGAGAAAACAACTTGAAACGTACGATGAACCTCCTTGGGATCTGGTGGGCTGACCTGCCGAGAACGGGATACCGAACGCGAACCTTCTGGCCGGGACGTGCGCTCAACAGGTGGGGGTGTAAAGCTTTGTTGCATATAATTGACAGCCAAGCCCAATTCTATAAACGAAGTCAGCAAAGAATAACGAGTTTCATGAATTTTTTACCTGGCCGCATTGCTAACTCGGGCACGATCCACTCCATCTCACTGGCTGGCGGCCCAATCTCCCGGCCCTTTCCTTTGTCAGTGTTGGTACCGACCTCGGTCTCAGTGCTCTTGAAAATCGCCGATGTGTGTGGTGTGGGTGGCTCAATGATTATGGTGGGAGTCACCCGGCCCACGTCTTTGTCAGCTTTTGGACTGGCACCGACCTCGGTTTCCTCATGTTTGACTTTGGCCATCTCTATGTCGATACCACCCTCGGACTTCCCCTTTCCCATTGTCAGACCAACCTCCATGTCCATGTCAATTGCATGCTCCACATCATGCCCGACTGCGGCCATTTCGACATCCTGCTTGCCCTTCTCTTTGACATCCGGCTTCACCTTCTTCACCTGTGGCTTCTTTGACCTCGCTTTCTTCCTCACGATCTTCACTTGGGCATCTCCCCCGGAGACTGTGGCCGTTTCAAGATCCTGCAACCCCTTTTGGATCTCGTCTTCGACCTCACTGTCGGTGTCCTTTTTCTTGGTTACTGCATATGTGCAGGTCGTCTTACCCGTACTGCAGGTGAAGCAGGATCCTTGTTGTGGGGGGGAACGGATAGCGCATGGAACAATGTCTCGATCTTGGCGTTTGCTGCAGGCCTCACAGGGGATATCCGCAAGCTGATAATTGCCTTTCGCAATGGCGGCATTCTGATTTGCAAGACGTTCGGCAGTTTTGGCTTGCCTTAAAGCGGCCATGGCGGTCTTGGGAGGACCGGCGTCGGGGTCTAACTTGGGCCTTTGGATGAGACTGAAGCCGGCACTGGGTGTCATGCGGGAGAAATGGGGCTGGGACTTGGGTTTAACCGCCTTTGCTTCCCCACCAACCGGTCGAAGTGACTCCGACTTCGGCTTCAATGTTTCCTCATCACTGCTGTTGATGAACTCCGCGCTCACGACTCTGGTCTTCTTTGGCCTGGCTTCGATCGAGTCCCCTTTTCTTTTTTTGCTTTGGACTGGGGCAGCGGTGTCGTTAGGCTGGGTGCTGGACCCGGCCTCGGGTTTCCTTCGCCCAGACTTCGTCTTACTCTTGGACTTCGTTTCAGCCGCTGGCACAGGATCGGTTGATTTTGCCCGACGCGTTGGTTTTGTTGGGGCCGGGAGCGATGATGAAGCTGTCAGTACCGGCAATGGGGGAGTTGGGACTGTGACTGGGAGCAATGAATCGGTCGAAGATGGAGGTAAAGGGGGAGAGGGACCGGCATAACCTTCCATAAAGAAGGTAGGGGTGGTGGGTTGTGGGATCGAGAACATTTTGGTCCAATCAACCGATGGTCCCGCTCGGGCCATTTCCGTGTACGCCAAAATCCAAGGGTGGTTGAGCCACTGGGCCGCGTTATACCACATATTCTTGTCGATGAGCAAACGTACAAATCGTTCCTGTAGGAGAAAGAGATCCAATTTCAGTCAACAAATCATTGTTAGTCACTCACAGCTTTCCCGTATGCATCCTCTTCCACCGTCCGTTGGTGGGCCAGAAGACCTTCCCTGTGACGGTTGTAAAAGTTCAAAAGCGTGGAGGTGGCCACCCTAACATCCTCCAAGAACCCGGGAGTGAGGGTATGGGCCTGTTGAGCGGCTTGAGCAAGTTCAGCAGTGGACATGGTAAGTGGGAATGGGACGATCGAGGGTGGTGAATGTGCACGTTGGAATGGGACAATGGTGAATGTGAAATTACGAAGTTGTAAACGCGGTCACGTGGTGGCGTTACTTCAACCGAGATCCGTACAATGTTCAACCGAGATCCGCAGAATGTTCCATGGCCGATCTGCAGTGGCTTGCTTTCCCACCATTGAAAAACAATGCGTCTTCATCACCAACCACACAGTGCAATCCCAGGAAAAGCTATCTACTCTCTGACTGATATGTCTTTAACAAATCCAGGTATTGTCCCTACTCCACACCAAGGATTGTCTACTTAATGTAGATAAACAGAAGCTGTGATGAAAGACCAAGAAATGAAGGATGGTAAGTTTTATGTACTCTTGTCGGCTGAGCAGTTCTAACCATATCTTAGGAACGGCCGAGGCTCTACCCCCTCTTCAACTAAGTGGTGAGTTCCAGTCGGTGACAGAAAACTAGCCAAACCTAAATTCTGGGTGGCTGATAGGACAGAGCCAAGAATCCGAACTAGTGATGGAAGTGGACGTCCCATCCTCGGCTCCTCATAGATCCATTTTCGATTTCAAAGAACCTACCCCTGCTCTAAGTTCCAACCCATTCACCCCAGCCTCGGCTCACCAATCCATTTTCGAGTTTAAGAAAGTCGGTACTTCAGCTTTTGCCCCGACCTCGGCTCATCAAGCATCAATGTTCGATTTTCAGCACGTGGGCACTTCAACGAATGTGCTGCCTGTTTCCCCGTCCTCGGCTCATCAGCCATCGATTTTCGATTTCCAGAAGCCTGGCAGATCTCCACCAGCCTCGGCTCGTCAGGCATCGATTTTTGATTTTCAGCAAGTGGGCACTTCAACGAATGTGCCGCCTGTTCCCCCGTCCTCGGCTCGTCAGCCATCCATTTTCGATTTCCAAAAGCCTGACATCCCTGCACCAGCCTCGGCTCGTCAGGCATCGATTTTTGATTTTCAGCAAGTGGACACTTCAACGAATGTGCCGCCTGTTCCCCCGTCCTCGGCTCGTCAGCCATCCATTTTCGATTTCCAAAAGCCTAACAACCCTGCACCAGCCTCGGCTAATAAAGGATCCCCTTTCGATTTTCAAGTCCATCGTTCATTTACCCCGGCCTCGGCTGTTCAGCCTTCCATTGATTTTCAAACACCTGGCACGTCTGCTCCAGCTCCTGCCTCTGACAAACCAGGCATGTCTTCCCCTG